CACTTGGACTGCCACGTCAGCAATCAACTGTCAGCGCCAGTTCAGTGCCACAACAGCAGCTCACTGCCAGGCCATCCCAGACGCGCCACGTGGCGCGTGTGGCTCAAATTCAGAGAGGAAAATGTGTAGGTTTTTTCTTATGACCCCAAAAATATTCTAAGTATGGGAAGTTTTTGGACTAATTTTTTTTTCTAAGTGTCCAAACTTCTTGATTCTTTTTCTATACTTTTTTCCTTCAATTTCTCAACTATTTAACAACTAATTAACATCTTTAATTACTTGTTAACTAGTTTTAAATCATTAAATTATCCAATCAAAGCCTTACAAGTAAAGAACTTTTTTAAGGCTTAAAAGTTTTTCTAAGTGTCCAAATTCACTTCTTCTTCTTCCACACTTTTTTTCTTCTATTTTTCAACTATTTAATGATTAATTAACATCTATAATTACTTTTAATTAGTTTTTAATCATCAAATCTTTTCTTTGATCCTTCAAATTAAGTAACAAGAAGTAATTCTTCTACTTTTGTTACTTGATTTATTTTGAGTCCAAATTCTTTTGGTACTTCTTTCTTCTACTTTTGTAATCTTAATTCGTTGATAACCTTCTTGATTCCAGTCCTTTAGATTTTTGGGTCATCCTTCTTTCAAGAGTCACAAGAATCCACTCCACCACAAAGAATTAGCGATCTTGTGATTTGATTGGGCAAAGGTAGTTCTCTATCAACTTTGGAAAGACACTTTAGGAAGGTGAGTGTGAGATCAAATAAGAGAGGTGTGAGAAATTTTGCCACTAACCTTGTTTGCTAAGTTTTGTAGGTACCCAAGGTGATTACAAGGAAGAATGACATCCGTAACTTCTGAATATTGTGGAGATGATATTGGTGAATATGCTCGTAGCAATATTAGCTATGAGCCTGGTGAAAATGAGTTTTGTGAGGGCTATGATGGTCCTTACGAGCATGGTAATGGGGCTCTTGTTTATGATGGTGATTCTTATGAGGGATATGACGGTCCATGGGATAATGAACAACATGGTGGTATGAACTACTACTCCGGAGATTATTTTGAGATGAATGGAACTTATGACTCTCGTGATGATGTTGAAGGGATGGAAGAACCTTATGGTGTATATCATTGTGGAGATGAAGGTTCTCATGCTACGCACCATGGTTATGATGGTGATGTGAGGTACAATTCTCTCTCATAGGTCTTGTGAATCTGTTGAGCAGAATATAGATAGAAATGAAGGTTGTGAGGTTGAATTTACTACCTCGTCTTGTGCTACTTCCTATCCTAAGAAAGAAGGCATAGATGTTTGGGTGGGACCATTTCAAAGTCACCGTGTGGACCATAGAAAAAGTACATTCCATACTTCTCGAAATATGCTAACTTATTATTCTCATCCTAGTTCCAATATTTCTTGTTCTCCGTATGGTGATGAGGTTGAAGGTAGAGGGGGAGGAACACTAAGCCATGAAGTAGTAGAGTTAAGAGAATCTTTTACAATGTTGAGGGAAGATTTTGATGATTTCTTGCGGATGTTTGAAAAGGTTACGTCTATGGTACAAAAGAGGCAAGTTATTCATCATCAAGATACACCTAAGGAGTTACCCTTGGAAGAAAACCAAGATACTCCTTGTAAGGTTGGCACTAAGGAGTTGCACATGGAAGTCAAAACACCCACTTCTTGTGCACCAAAATGGAAGTTGAACTTGAAGGGATCTTCCAACCCTTGAAAAGGAATCCTTGGCACTTGCCCTAACTCCCATAAAATTGAGAGACAAAAGATTGAGAGGAGTAAGGATGTGAAAAGTGACAACTCTAGAGTGGAAAAAGGAGAGGTTGGGTGGAGTGTCGCGAGAGGGTTGCCACATTTTTCTCCTAACTCATGTAACTTTACTTTCTCTAGTTGTTTGAAAATTTGTGTAGGTATCCTTTGATGTAACCGTAGTGAGGCACCTCAAAATGTGAAGAATCATGAGGTTCTTGAAAGCTTCCAAAATGAGAAATTGTGCTCTAATGTTGATAGCCAAGGTGACGACACTTCTTCCTATGAGCTACAAGGTAACAATGCTAATGCCTACACTTCCTTGAACTTGGAACATCATTGTGTGGCTAGTAGCCCATTGAGTGTAAATAATAGGTTGTCTTTATGTGAGCATAGTGAGTCTTTACCTTGTGATGTTCTTGATAGCACTTTCTTGTGTGATGATAATATCTTTGTTGTGAGTGAGCAAGCACTAGTTGATCCTTTTGATGATAGAATTGACTCTTCTAGTAAGGTCAATTTGTGTCCACCTAATGTTGGCACTTGTAACTTGAATAAGGGTACATTGTCCTGCGATGAAAGTGATGGTACACTAGTTGATCCTATTGATGACCAAGTTGATTCTTCTAGAAAGATCAATTTGTATCCACCTAGTGTTGGCATTAATGGTTTGAATGAATCCTTAGACCATAACACCATTTCTTGTTTTTCTCATGTGAATCTTGAGGTAGAATGTTTGTTAAAGGATAATCTCTTGTTTGATGATGCCATGACTCTTGAGAGTGTGCATAGTGAAATGTCTTATAATGTTGGAAGTGTAGCCACTCTCAGCGGCTATCAATTGTTTGAGAATCCACTATGGTGTGATGACACACTTTCCAAAGATGAAAATCTCTTTTGTGAAGATGATAGTACATTTATAGGAGAGGGTAGTGTTAAGATGAAAGGGGACGCTTATGTGTTAAATGTTACTTCATCCTTGTATGTTCCAATTCTTCATATGAATTGTACTTCTTTAGTATATAAAGTGGAGGCCAAACTTGGGAACAACTTGATTGAAGTTCATTTATGCGACACCTTTCTCTACTACTTGTTTGCATATGATGATGTTAGCACTTTTGAGTGGAGTACTATGATACTGGAATATAAGGGTGCCAACTGAGTTAATAAAGGTGTGTTTTCTAACCCCCTTTCTTTACTATCTCTTTGCGTATGATCTTGTTGATTGTGCATCTTATGGGGATAAGAGTTATTTGTCAAGAGATGGGGAAGTTTATCTTAAATTTGTCATTTTGTCTTTGTGTGTTCCATCTTGTAATGTATTGAGTGCTAGAATCCTTAAACCTAGTTTTAATCTTGCATATAATAATACCTTAGATGACCCTTATGTGCATGACACATTTCTCTACTATCTCTTTGCATATGATGAGTCTCATATTTGTCTTAAATGGGCATTGCATTTCGGTCGAGGTATCATTGAGGTCTATACTTGTTTGTATGACCCCATTATGTGGACCTATTATCATTTTGACCCCGGTGAGCGTTTGAACTTGTAGTAATGTTATATTTTGGGTGGTATTATCCTTTTGATGTGAGGAATAGCCAATTTCCTTGTTCTCCAACTGCGGGCTTAATAGTCTTGATAATAGAGGATACTTGGTTGTTCCTTGAGATTGAGTCTCCTTGGTGTAATGCTTTTTGTGCTAACCATTATACTAACCCTCGTGCTATGAGGATATATTTGTTATTTGTCCTTTTCATGGTTTTGCAAGGTTTGGATTTGAGGACGAATCCTTTTCAAAAAGGGGAGGATGCTAACAACATGGATAACATGGATCGCGTAAAAGCATTAGAGGGGCTTGATGGACACAAAATCAAGAAGTACAATGTGTGGAAGGTCTATCTAAGTGAAGAGAAGAAAAAGAAGAAAGAGGCCATTTGTGCAAATGGCCATCTCATAATTTCAAGAACTCACAAAAGAAGATAACCAAACAAGGCCCTTACCTCATTAAGGGTAAAATTGTCGAAGAAATGTCTTCTTTACTTTATTTCCAAGAATTCACAAAAGAATTCAACCAAACAAGGCCCTTACCTCATTACGGGTAAAATTGTCAAATAAGCGTCTTCTTTATTTTATTAGTATAAATAGTAGTCACTTTTATTTTGGAAGATTTAGACTATATGGATTTTGAATGTGAAATGAACAAACTCTTTCAAGAGTGTAGTTTAAGGGTGGAATCCCTTTAGGATAGCCTAGCTTAGTGTAGCTTAATCTAGATTAGTGACGGGTGGATTCTCATTGTTGGTTTAGGATTTCTTTAACCTTGATTTCACTTGAGATTGCTCATTTGTGGTTTTCAATTTGAGTTGTTCTTTTCGAATTCAAGTTTCTCTTCTTCCTTGGTTGATTGTTTATTCAATTGCCTTTCTTTCTTCTCTTCTCATCTCTTATTTCTTATATATCTTACTTTTGTGTTGTTTCATTCCGCATTTGATTTCAATTGGTTTCATCCCCAATTGGAACCCTTATCAGGTTTATGGTTTAGGGTTTCATGTTCTAAGTTTATGATTTAGGGTTAAGAGATTAGGGTTTAGAGTTTAGGGTTTGGGGTTTAGGGTTTAGGGTTTGGGGTTTAGGGTTTAGGGTTTAGGGTTTAGGGTTTAGGGTTTAATGTTTACGGTTTAGGGTTTAAGGTTTAGGAATTTATGTTTAGGGTTTATGGTTGAGGGTTTGGATTAGGGTTTAGTGTATTGGGTTTAGGGTTAAGGGTTTAACGTTTAACATTTAAGGTTTAGGGTATGGGGTTTAGGGTTTAGTGTTTAGGGTTTGGGGTATAGGGTTTATGATTTAGGGTTTAGGTTTTAGGATTTTGGGTTTAGGGTTTAGGGTTTGAAGATTAGGGTTTGGGGTTTAGGGTATTGGGTTTAGAGATTAGTGTTTGGGTTTTTTTTTTTTTTTTTTTTTTTTAGATAAAAAGCAAAAGTAATACATGGAGGGGGACATAAACCTTAGCTCCGATCCTATGGTGGTTCATGAGTATACTTTCCTACTAAGGAAAGTGTACTCATCCCCATGATTCTAAGACGAAACCTAGAACTAAGCACCTATAGAGAGGACTCCTCTCTGTACAAAATTCTAAGAAACATAAACGAGGTAGACTCTCCCCTTACAATTAGACCTAGAACTAGCCAAAAAACTAGAAAAGAAGCCTAAAAGAACTAACGTGAGAACTTCAAGGTGGTTTTTTTATCCTCTTTAGCTTTTTCCTCCTCAAGTTGGTCATTCCCATCTTTTCCAGGAGGAAACTTCCTTTAGCTGCTGCAGGTAGCTGGTTCGGGGTGTAGAAGTGCTGAGTGATGTCTGATCTGTGACTTTCCTTGGACAGAAAATCTGTTGTTGTGTTGGCTTCTCTGTAGGTATGCTGGCATTTGAAGAACTCCAATTGAGTAGTGATCTTGTGAAGTTGAGTGAGGTACTGCTGCAATTTCCAGGGAGGCTTGCTTTTGTGGTTAAGCCATTTGGTAAGTAGTTCTGAGTCCACTTCCAAGATAACCTTTGTGTAACCATGTTGAATGCACCAGTCCAATCCATGGGCTGCTGCTTGTGTTTCAGCTTGGTTGTTGGTACCAATACCAAGGGGAATTGTGAAAGCGTATATCATGTTTCCATTGAAGTCCCTCAATATACCCCCTTCTCCTATCTTTCTGGGGTTATGCAATGCACTACCATCTGTATTAAGCTTCAAGAGGGGGCTAGGGGGGCCTTGCCAGCTGACCGTGATGATCCTGATATCTTGAGAGCATTTCTCGACTTCATTGATCATATCCTCCCAATTATTAGGCCAAGAGCAATAGGGATAAGTGATCATGAGAAGCTGGAAAGTATCTTTAAAGATCATGTACTTTACTCTTGCCACATTTGATTTCTTCTGGCCATATTTCACTGAGCATCTGTTCTTCCAAAGATTCCAGCAAATTGATATGGGAAGGGTCTGAATAATGAGTTTGTGGACCTCATTTTTTGCAGCCATTCCCCACCAGCTCATCAGGAGATTATTTAGTGGCCTGGGATTGTGAATAATTCCCAGCAGCCCTGAGAAATACCTCCAGATGTGAGCTGTGAAATTCCCTGAGACAAAAATGTGTTCAATATCGTCCCAACCTGATCTAATGCAGCAGGAACATGTTGTTGGCTGCACTCCAAAAGAGCTCAACTTGTCATTGGTGGGAAGTTTGAATTTGAGGGCCCTCCACAAAAGAAAAGAGGCTTTGAATGGAACTTGTTTATGCCAAATGGTAGAGAATAGTCTATTCTTGTTCTTCTTGCCCCTCACTAAGTTCCAGGCAGATGAACAGGTGAATGTCCCATTTCCATTTTGCTTCCAGTAAGCTTCATCAGTGACTCCTGCCTGATAGTGAATGGCAATGCTAAGCACTTTGGGGACTAGCGAAGGTGGGACGTGCATTCTCATCAAAGTTTCATTCCACTGTCCGTGTCTTAAGAAATAAGAAACTCGAGTATTGTTCAAGCTAGTTATGTTGTGACAGAAGTGAGCTAGAGGTCCTTCCCCTATCCAATTATCCCACCAGAAAAAAGCATTTCCAGAATTTATTCTCCAGCCTATTTCAGTTTCCACCATCTCCCTGTTCTTCACCATGTATTTCCATACCAAAGAGTCTCCTGTATCCCCTTTCTTAGCTACTGGATTGGACCTCTGGCAATACTTGGCTTTTAGAAATTGGCCCCATAAAGAGTGTTTGGTCCTGAAGTTCCACCACTGCTTAATTTGGAGGGACGTGCAAACGTCGTTAAGGTGCCTCACACCAATGCCACCCTCCTCATAGGGAAGACTAAGCGATTCCCAAGATGCCCAATGATATTTTTTCTTGTCCCTGTCCATTCCCCAAAAGAAGTCTGCTGTCACTCTTTTGATATAATGCAAGGTAGTTCTAGGAGGGGAAATGGTAGGCATAGTATGAATAGGTATTGAATGGAGTACATGTTTAATCAAAGTGGTTTTCCCACCAAAACTTAGGATACGAGAGTGCCAGCCGCTGATCTTTTTGACAACCTTTGCCACCAAATCTGAATAATAAATAATCCTTTGTCTTCCTATGTAAAGGGGGCAGCCAAGGTAATTAATGGGACTGTCTCTTTGAGTGAAGCCAGTGGTTTCCTGGATCATGTCAATAATGTGAGGAGGAGTATCTTTAGGAACCATGAAATGACTTTTTCCTTTGTTGATGAGTTGGTCTGAAGTATCTTCATAAGTTGACAGTGTTTCCATAATAAGCTTCAGAGATTCTTCTCTTCCTGAAGTAAATATGATAACATCATTAGCGAAGCTTAAGTGATTAATCTGAGGCCCTCTGAAATCCATTTGGAACCCATGGAAATGCTGATTGTCATATAGGTTATTGAGCATTCGAGATAGCACCTCAGCCCCTAAAATAAATAGGGATGGGGAAAGAGGATCCCCCTGCTTGAGACCTCTCGTAGAATGGAAAAAACCATGCCTTGTCCCATTGACTATGATGGAGTACCAATTATTACTCATGATCCTCCACACCATGTCAATGAAAAATTCTCCAAATCCCATGTGTCTTAAAACCAGGCTAGTAAAGGCCCATGACACTCTGTCGTATGCCTTTGCCATGTCCAACTTAATTACCACATTATCCCCTTCCTTAGGTTTTTTAATACCATGAATAATCTCCTGTGCCAGCATGACACTCTCTGAAATACTCCTACCTTTAACAAAGCCAGACTGATTGTTGGAGATAAGGCCAGGCAGCATAGGAGCAAGTCTGAGACATAAAATTTTGGAAATGATTTTGTTGGTAAAGTTGCTCAAACTTATGGGTCTGAATTCTGAAAAATTATTAGGATGATCTACTTTTGGGAGTAGAACCAAACTTGCATGGGAAATGAACTTGGGCATGAAGTAACCACAGAAGAAGGCATGAACTGCACTTAGAATATCTTCTTTGATGATATCCCAGCAGCTCTGAAAAAACTTCCCACCAAAGCCATCCGGTCCAGGCGCTGAATTAGGATTCATAGAAAAAACCACCTGCTGCAGTTCTTCACTGGTAGGCATTGCTTGGAGGGTCTTATTTTGCTCAGGAGTGACCATTCTTGGGATATGTTGTAATATATCCTCATTGATGGGCTGCTCAGTTCCTGTAAAAAGGTTTTTGAAGTGATTACAGGCTGCATTGGCTATGTTCTCATCACCCTCCACCCATTCATCATTTCCTGTACAGACTCTGTGGATAAAAAGTTTCCTTCTTCGACCTCGCATAACGGCATGAAAGTACTTGGAGTTGGTGTCACCTTCTTTATACCATTGCAATTGAGTCTTCTGTTTTAGGATAGAATTTTCCAACTTCAAATATTTGATGTACCTGGCATTAATCCCGTGTAAGGTTGCTCTATTTTCAGCAAAATTGTTAACAATCAATGCTTCCTCAGCCACTCTAACTCTCTCCTCATGAACTCGAACAATGCTGAAAATGTCTCCAAATGTTGTTCTGGACCAGTTACTGAGAGTAGCAGTCAACCTCTTCATTTTGTGTTGTAATCTCCACATAGGATTGCCTTCCACTTCCCTATCCCAGCAAGCTTTAACCACATTATTAAACTCCTCATGTTCAGTCCAGTAGTGCAAGAACTTGAAATATTTGATAGGTTGCTTCACTTTATCTACAATCTCCATCAATAAGGGATAGTGATCAGACCCAACTGAAGGGAGATGGGTAATAGTAGTTTGAGGAATTCCTTGTAACCAACTGTCATTGACCATAGCTCTATCGAGCCTCTTCCATACTCTAGCCTCTTCACTCCTTTGATTGCACCACGTATACCTCTGACCCGTGTACCCTTGGTCCATTAATCCACAAGCTTGAATAGTGGAAATGAATTCAAAACGTTTATTCATGTTATAGGGGATGCCACCTTGTTTCTCTTCTGGTGTAGTAATGATATTAAAATCACCAATTGTACACCAAGGTGTATTTATATTAGAAAAATGAATAAGTCTATCCCACAAATGTCTCCTCAAGTAATCCTTGCATTTGGCATACACAATCGTGATCATAAACTTATCTTTGATTTCCACATGTTGCAAAGTTCCTGTGATGTGTTGATCCTTAGATTCCAAAATGTTAAGATTTATTTCCGCAGTCCAGAATAACCAAATCTTCCCATTAGAATTGCAGCAGGCATTTTCCATGTTCAGTTTGATTTTATAACTGTTGAGATGAGAGTTGTCAGCAAAGGGTTCAAGAATAGCAATCATTGACAGATTGTGAAGTTTCTTGAGAGTTTGTATTCTTTCCAGAGAACCAAGAGTATTAATAATCCTTGCATTCCAACAGAGTGTCTTAATCATTAAACACCTCTGCTTTTGGACCTGGTATTGGGTCTGCTAGTCTGAGCAGAAGTAGTTTTGGAAGCTTGTCTGTGATTTTGTTTGTCTTGTTTCCTCCCCCTTGGAGATAACCCCTGCTGTTCAGCTACCTCTTGTATTTCCTTTTGGAAGTCACTCTGAAATGTAGACCCAAAGGCTTTGATAAGATGAGCACTGACTTCCTCTCCATCTTCATCCTCCTCTTCATCCTCAATGGACTGAGTGTCTTCATCATGTTCATCCTCTGAATGTACCATATCATACTCACCATCTTGTTTTTGTTGAGTCTGTGCATTCTGCTCCTTTTTCTTCCTGTTGGTGTCTTGTATTGCAATCTCTTTCTGTAGCTTTTTCTTAATTGTATCCCTTTTCTTTTTGCTCAATCTTCCTTGGGATTTATTATTTGTCTTCAAGCTAAGGTCCCTTACTTCCCTTGTTTATCAGTAGCTCTATTGTCCTGTGTCCTCCCCTGATTCTGCAAGTTGATAGGAGCCTGATACCCCTCTCTATTTTCACTTTTGTTTTCCTGAATTCCCTGATAATTCACACCCCCAGAGAGCTCTTTTGTTTGCACCTGTTTCAAACCATGATCCTCAGCAGATGGTTGATTACTGACTTGATTTTTGGTCTGCAAGTTGTCTGCATCATTATCAGTGGTAGCAGTGGCTCTAGAGTCTTTCCTATGGTCATTGTGTAAAACCTCATGCAGAACATGAGTCAATTTCCCCCCTTTGGTTACCCCTTCCTGCATGTTAGTATGTGTCTCCTTACAACCCCCATCCATCCCTCCTTCAGCTTCAACACATCCAGAAGAGAGAGTAAAATTAATAAGGGGCTTGGGGATTGGGAGAGTAGAGTCAATACCTGAATTTCTTGGAACCTGTTTAGTACCTTGGGTCTTCTTAAGGACTGCTGTAGGTTGTGTCCTCTGCTTCTTTGGTGAACCAGGCTGAGTTATTTTCTTTGATCCGTCACTAGTGTGCTTTACTTTGGATGAGTTATTTATAGTAGTTTGAGCTTCTTCATTCTCTTGACTTGGGCTTTGATCCTGAGGATCCAGATCAATATAAGTATTGTGAGTACTAATAATAGTTTTACCTGTCTTACCTTGCTGCTGCTGTGATGTGGAGGTTGTTGCCTTGTCTTGAGGTGAGGTAGGTCGATCCGCAATATTGTAGTTGGCCTTGTTATGTTTCTTTCTAGTTACTTGCCACTGCTCTTCCTGTTGATTGTTAAATTGTTCTGTTTGTTGCTGTTGACCTGTGCTCATTGTAGTATTGTCTCCTTCCCTGTTGTTCTGAGTATCTTTTCCATTCCTGCTGTCTTTTCCTTACTCTGGTTTGGCTTTGTTTGTCTTCTCATTTTCAGCTTCTTTCCTTCTTTTGTGTTTCTCATCTCTTCTTTTAATGTTGCATTCATTCTCATGATGTCCCTGATGTCTACAATACATGCAGTAATCAGGGATACCTTCATATTGGATTTGCTACCATCTTCCTATATTATAGTCATCTTCATCAATGCCCATCCAAACATGAGGAGGTCTTGCTTTAGTGAGATCGATTTCGACCTTAACCCTGGCCACACTGCCTCTAGTCTTCTGGGCTGTTGGAGAATCTAAGTATAACACTTTCCCAATAGGCTGCAAAAGAATAGAAAGAAATTCTTTTTTGTAGAAATGCCAAGGAAGTTCAGGTAGAACTATCCATGCAGGGACTATAGGTGTTTCCATCTCAGGTCTGAAAGTAGGCGTCCATGTTTGTATCCTCATAAGTTGTCCCTCGATAGTCATTTTTTGTTTAGTCCACACACTGATATAGTCCAGGTCGTTATCAAGATCGATGTAAACATGTCTTGAGTTAAAGTGAGAAATTTCAAACCTCCAGATAATTGAGTTTGAATGACAAAATTCTTTCGTATTAACTCAATCATAGGCATAGTGTTAGTGAATTTCCCAATTAAGGTAAATTTGCAGTCCGCCACCAGCTTGTGATTGAAATCTTCCTTCTTGAAAATAACTGCTGGTAAGCCTTGTCTGGTAGTAAATTCATGGGCTGCCAGGTTTAAACAATCCACTTTCTGATTTTGGTTTTGTTTGAGTTTCGCTGCAAAGGTCTGGATCACAGTAAAAGGTGCAGGTTCAGGGATTTGTTCTTTCTTGGAGTTGTTTTGATGGTTCTGAACACTTTGGTGGTTGTTGCCCGTATGGGCATTGGCATTTGGACCTCCTGGTTTGTTCCTATTGGGAAGTTGGTTTTGTTTCTCAAAATTGCTTGAAATTTTGGGAAAATTGGAGTTGGGAACAAAGGTATTATGCTTGACATTGGTATTATTGCCCTGTTTTGTGTCCTGTTTTACAGGATTATGGACCTTCTTTGAATTATGGATTGGTTCCTGCAGCACCTGTTGTTCGATATTTCTACCAATCTCATTTGCATAAACTTGCAAATGAGCCTCATGCTTGGTATTAACGAATTGATTAGAGCTAGGAGTAAGGGAACTACCTGATGGTATGACTTCTCTTTGTTGAGATTGATCATCCCTTTGATGTTGCTCTTTGTTGTTCTTTTGTTGTCCATCAGTGTGCTGTTGAATTGGATCAGGGGAAAGCACCCTTTGAATGGCTTGTATCCCAAATGAAAATTTGGATGAAGTATCCTCCTTTGATTGATCTTGTGAGCTTTGCACTTGTGGTATCGGCTTGTTGTTGGCCTGTTCGTTGATCCTATTTGGTTCTTGCTGTTCCTTGTCTTTGTTCTTCAGATTCATTCTTCCATGGTGGAGATCAGAGTCTTTTGCCATTGAGTTAGTTGGTGCTCATCACTGGGGAAGACCTGTTTCTCCCCTCCAAAGCTTCGTTCACCCCTGCAATAGTTCGACAAGATATATTGAGTAGAGGACTTACCTGAGTTCCGGCATCTCCATCGGAATTCATTTCCACCACGATTTGCCGAGCCAAATTGCTAGAAATTACTGTGGGATGTTCCTCTAGGTTAGGGGAAGATTCCCCAGTGAGCGAATCATCCTTACCATGTTCAGATTGTGTTCGAATTTGAGTGCGCATTTGCGGTGCCGCATTAACGATTTTCGAAAAATTCCAAGTTTGAGATCTCACGATTGGGTCGGTATAATCAGTTGAAATTTGTACTGTAGCTAGATCGTGTATAGGTGAATCAATGTCTCCTTCCACATTTGCTCGATTCTTCCCCGTTTGATCATGGGAATTAATTTCTCGCGTACCGTCTAGTTCTCTTTCCGAAATCGCTATGCAGACCGCCTCATCTTTTCGCAGATTCGAAGAGTTATGTGATGAATTAGACGGCGATTCTTGTTGGGTTTTGTAGCTATTGTCCTGGCGCTTCTTTTCCATTAGGTCTGGCGGCCTTAGGGGCCCGTCTGGCGGCTGTGTGGCCATTCCAGCGGATCTGTCCAAAATAGCCCAGCTGAGAGAGAATTCGCTAGAGAGAGAATTTTTAGAGAGAGAAAAAATTGGGAAATGAGGAGGCAACCAAGATATAGTGTTTGGGTTTGGGATTTAGGGTTTGGGGTTTAAGGTTTGGAGTTTTGGGTTTAGGGTTTAGGGTATAGGGTTTAGGGATTAAGATTTTTTTTAAGTGTCCAAATTCATTTCTTCTTCTAAACTCTTTTATTTTAACTTCAAAATTTGGCAAAGTATGGGAATGGGTATAGGTTTTGGTTTAGGGTTTAGGGTATAGGGTATAAGGTTTAGGGTTTAGGGTTTGGGGTTTAGGGTTTAGGGTTTAGGATTTTGTGTTTTGGGTTTTGGGTGTTGTGTCACACCCAAAATCCTATTAAGGCGGACCGGCATCCGTTGTCGAGAAGGCTCGGGAGGACTAACATGTAGTCATGCTCTATCTATGAACATTTAAAGGTGCTGCCATAGTGGATAACATGTTTTCATGAAAGTAGATAGTATTAACAAACCAAAAGAAAGTGCACATGACTTGGCCGTTGGGACCATGATGTCTAAGACACGAGGCACAACGACACTTCATTATACATAGTCTACAAAGCCTCTAAATGATAAAACATTATGAGGTTAAGGTTGGGACAGGCCCCACCTTACACTTAGCTACTATACAGTACCAAAATACATGCTATAGACTCGGAAAGCCCCGAGAGAGACGTTAGTACGGGAAAATGTACTGAGTATGTAAGGCATAAAGTACTGTATGTGAAATAAGAACTCAAATGAAATCATATACCAATGTAAGAATACAAGACCACCTTTTCTCATATTATGGAATCAGGTACTTTACATTCTTTTCTTTACTTTATCATTCTTTACTTTACACTCTGTGCACATAATATAATACAAATGACCAGCTGATTAGTGGTAGACATATAAATCGAGATTGACCCATGCTAGGCTTTCCTTTAACCCCTGGGATACCACCCGTAATATTGGGATCGACCCATGCTAGGTGATTCTTCCACCCCTGGGATACCACCCATCAATAAGCAGATTCATTTAATATCTTTCCATTAACATTTGAGATGATTCTTTTGGTGGGCATAGCATTTTTGAGTTGTGGGACTATGTAGTCAACAAGTGACATATAATAATCATATATTGCAAGAACAACAATGTAGAGAGTAGTTACACAATTAGTGAAATGCATAGGAGCTGAAATAACATATGGACCTTATTTAGTTAAAAGGAGAACTCATATAGGGTATTCAATGTATATGTATAGATTTGACAATGAACATGTATTGGAACATGCAGACATGTTAAAGAGTGAGAAAAAGGTCATAAGTCGTGTTGGAGCTGGTAGGCTGCCTTTTTGTGTCGAGGACGAGTCTAGATTTCATGCCAATTAGTAGGAAATCGAAAAGCCTTACATACCTTTCTGTACCACCTTGTATTTACCTTGAAGTACCTTCCTTTCTTTTCAAATACTTATCTGCAATAGAGTAGGTGATAAACTAGTATTAGTAGTTACTAAACATGCTTAGGCAGT